TAATCGGTGTTTTCTAACCTTAAAACTCAAAACGGGCAAATATAAAAAAACACGTATCAAATGTTTTTCGATATTCTATTCATATGCCAAGTTGCAAAAAAATCGGCGTATGGCACTTGAGTAGTGTTACTTGTGAATTAAACCGCGCAATGTCAGTCTTTAAATTGTTTATCACTCGTCCGTAGAAACTGTAGACACAACTGTCCGCAATTGCTCTGATTGTAACGTTGATAAAGTATGTGATTGTATTGGATTACACAGTTTGTTAGATATCGCTCGAGTTCATTCGGCGGTCGGAGGTTACCAAAACTGTCGAAATATATGACACGATTCCCCCTTTTCGCGTACGCTACCCAATGCGTACCGGGTCACTCTGCGTTGTCCAGATTCACGATACCGTTCTCGTTTCGATGTACTCCTTCCACCGGTAATGTCGTACGCATAAAGATACCTCTGAAATACGGAATGCACATACGTTTTGCAAGTTGTAGCAGTTGCACGTTGGTAGTTACACCCGTTCGTATTTTTAACGTCTCATCGACGTTTTTTTTTCTCTTTACCACTCCTCGTCCACGCTTGTAGGGAGCGAGATAAACACCGTGACCTTCCATGACGCGATTATGACGTTGCATTTCTTCCAGCTGATGCTCCGCTGCTCTGCTATCATTTACAGCCTTGGCAACTCCCGCCGCTCCACCGACCAACGACCCGAAGACGCCCAGCAGCGGAAGAACAGGCAGGACACCGCTGCGTTTCGCTATCGGAAAATCCTCTTACTCTTTCACTTCTTTGCTTTTAAGCATGGGCTATGGACCCATCTTGATATACATACAGATGGGTATGAACCCATCTTCGTTTTAGCCTTCATAGCCGCCCAAACAGCTGTGGCGGCGGCTCTCTCTGTGAGAAACGAATCTCTCGCGGTAATGCGTTTACGCGCCTTTTCAGCGAGTATATTATCAGCCCCGTGCCGTTCAGCGAGACTGTTGTTGTGCGAATACGCTATATCGTGTTCGCGACACGCCGTGTCCAATGGGTTAATACCTCTGTCGCCTCTAGCCAATCGTTTCTTCAAGCGCGTCCCCGGTCCACAAAACTGGTAACCGGGAATGTGCAGTTCGAAAGGAAGCGCGTTTATCACTTTACAATTTTTTATCAACGGCGCTGGACCGTCGATATGAGTTTGATGACTCGGAAAATTGTAATGCTTCAGACACCGACGATGTCGTTGTACCACCGAATCGGCTCGTATATGCTCAGGTAGTCTATCCCACAGCAGATCTATACAATTCTCAAACTCTCGTAGTAAAACAATTTTCGGTATATATTCCAATTCTTTGGAGGTTAAATCATTCGACACGATGAGAAACATTTTGATTACTGAGCGATTACGCTCTACGTAGTTCTATAAATAGGCCCGCTCGCGACATCTTTTCCAGTTTCTTGTGTAACGCGAAAATATGCGGTTCGTGCACCAGTCGCAGTCTATCAAAGTGACGAATCTCGACGGTAAAGTGCAAACCAATAAAGAGATGCGCAAGCATGGCAAGATGCTGCCGAGTTCGGTAAATCTTCGGAATAGGGGAAACAGCTCCGATCTTCTTGACCTTGACATATGTTGTCAAGGTCATGACCCTGAGTAACTTTGCCTTACCAACTAGCCGTCGCTCGCCCTTCGTTAAAAAGATATTAACAAAAAAAGTTTCAAAAAATAACGTACCATTATACTGCTGTATATAATAAAAAAAACATTACTAAATGACAATAATGTTAAATAAACGTTGAATATCTATGGAGAATTATGTTACGATTCTAACGGATACAAATTACTCATTATTTCAAAAAATCGTTCAATACGTTTGTCAAAAGTATACAGTCTTTTGAACAAAAATTCAGCTATGTAATGTTCATAATTGTACTCTCTTGTACCAAAACGTGGAATATTAGCACGTAAATCCCAGGGGCACACGACTTCTACGATTGTACTGTTGCTTCTATGATAGTACTGTCGGAGCAGACCTCTGACGACGGTGTGGGTGCGGGGGGGTGGCCGGAGGCCGAAGGCCGATGGCCGAAGGCCGATGGCCGCCCCCTTGCACCCGCCCGTGTGTGTGTGTGTGTGTGTGTGTGT